TTGAGCTTGCAGCACCCCGCCACATTCACCTCCCTCAACCTGCCCACACCCGCCAGCCCCTCCGGCAGCGCTTGCAGCTGCTCATAGTCTTCCAGTGAGAGGATCATGAGGGCAGGGAGGAGGGAGAGAGTGTCAGGCAGGCGGCGCAGGCGGGGGAGACAGTTGAGCTTGAGGGAGGCGAGGCGGGGGAGGGAGCCGATGGAGGTGGGGAGAGAGGCGAACTTGTTGCAGTCGGTGACGGAGAGGGGGACGAGGGAGGAGAGCAGGCCCATGGACGCGGGCAGCCCCACCAGCGCGTCACACGACTCCACCGTGAGCTCCTTCAGGGCCTTCAGCTGCCCGAGATTCTTGGGCAGGCGCGCCAGGCGCGGGAGGGTTTTCAGGACGAGTTTTTCAAGGTTGGAAAGGTGGGGTAGGGACGCGGGGAGGGAGGGCATGTAGCGACATTTTTCGAGAATGAGCACCTTGAGGCTTGAGAGGTCGTTGAGGTTGCTAGGCAGCGATGGCAGGGTGGATTCCACGATTGCGAGGTGCTGCAGCGACGAGAGCAGCGCCAATCTGGCTGGCTGACCAGGTCGAGGATCAAGCGAGAAGCCGAGAAGTGGATGAGTTCGGGTGCCTGGCATGCCGAGGCCAGTAGCAGCCGGGGCGAAGAGTGCGTCGAGAGAGACGAGCTCGTGCAGGCTGAGATGGGTGAGGCGTGAGAGGGTGAGGAATGAGTCCGGCAGGTAGCACGCTTCTGGGAAGACGTCAAGCAGAGAGACAGAGGTGACGGAGGGGGGGAGGGCGATGGGTGCAGCAAGTGAGGTGGAGGAGGGGCATTCTAAGAAGTCATCCGCAAATTCCAGCTGGTCGCACTTTTCCAGGGTGAATTGCTCCAGCCGCGGCAGAGCATCGAGGCCGCGTGGAAGGCTTGTTAGAGTCGGGCAGTTGGAGATCTCCAGGCTGTGAAGCATTGGGAGCGGAGTGGAGCAAGCAGCAGGGCGCGCTAAGGGACGAGTCCGAGAATGAGGAGCAGGCCCAGCGGCAGCAGAAGCAGCAGGGGCAGCAGGGGCAGCAGAGGCAGCAGGGGCAGCGGCGGATGAACGCCCCCCAGGCGCAGAGGTGGAGGTGGTGGGAGGAGGAGCGGGCAGGAGGGAGGGGAAGCAGCTTAGCTGTGCACAGTTCTTGACGTGCAGCACTTGCAGCCCAGCCAGCCGTCCCAACCCCTCTGGCAAGCTCTCTAGCGCGTCACACCCGTCCATCACCAGCTGCTGCAGGCCCGTGAGGGAAGAGACGGACGGGGGCAAGCTGCGCAGCAGGCAGCGCCCCATCAGCGGCTCATTCAGTCTGGCCGCTGAGAGCGCCGCAGGGCAAGCAGATGAGGAGGGCTGCCCTTGATCCGCGCCGTCCCTTGTGTAACTCTCCCTGCTCCCCACCATGAGAGCCTCCAGCTTTGGCAGCTGCCCGAACCTCTCTGGCAGGCTCGGCATGGCGCAGTTGAAGAGCTCCAGGCAGCGGAGCTGCGGGAGCTGCTCGAAATTGGGCGGCAGGGAGATGAGCGACGTTCCCCCATAGATGGCTAGGGTTTTCAGTGAGGAGAGATTTGCAAAAAACGCGGGCAGCTCGAGTCCGTAGCAGGCGTGGAGCCTCAGCTCGTGCAGCCTCCCCAGCTGCCCGAACGACCTGTGCAGAGATTTCTGCTCTAACGGGTGAACGAGCTCTACGGAATGCTTCTCTGCAGCCACGCGAACTTTGTTGTTCACTAAGGAGAAAATTGGCTAAGTGTTGAAAAAGGCATAGATTTGGCACACACAGAAAATTCACTAGAATTGTAAAGATAGAATACAACAAGGGGTGAAATAGAAGCTACCCAACCAATGAACCATGTAGAGAACGTTCGCCCAAGAACGTTTACATAACTACTTTTAGCTGCGCTTTGCCAACTCAGCGTCGGCAGGTGAAAATTACAACATGTGCTTAGTAGGTAATTTTTACCTACATAAAAGTAGTTGTTTTAGCTGTTCAGGTTGTTTTAAACAACTTCTGTAACGCACGTTTTCGTAGTTACGAAAACGTGCGCCAGGTTCATTCTGTGGAGGTGGTTCAATTTCGCCCCAGATTGAACACCCCAGTTCCGCGCACTGTTCCCCGGGGTCAATTTCTCAATGTCCGCAATGTTCCGAAATTCCCACGCAAAAGTTCCGAAACGATCGCGTTTTCGCGTCGGAGAGGTTCGTCGGTCGAGAATGTGCTTCTCTGCAGAAATCCGTTTCTGCAGACGCGCCTTTCTCTGCAGAACGATTTCTGCAGATGCGCACTCTTCTGCAGATGCGCACTCTTCTGCAGATGCGCACTCTTCTGCAGCAGAACCTTCTGCTTCTCCGAATTCCCTCTGCTGCAAAGTTCCGCGTAATCCTCTGCAGCATTCGCTTCGGCGGAATTTCGCTCCCCTGCAGAAGGCGACGACCATCTTCTGCAGGGTCAATGCCAGCTCAACACTCCCCTGCATTGATCCTGCTTGGTCGTCGTAGAGAACATTGACCCGTCTACACCACACACCAGAGCAGAAACAGAAAGAAAGAAAGAAAGAAAACATGCAGAAAAGAAACACACAAGAATTGCAGAAGTTTGCAATTCGCACACACCATCACCGCACCAGCCATGAAAAGGTCATGGCACCTATTCCACGTCGAGAGGACCCTCTGCACTGCTCCCCTTCGCCGAAAGCCTTACTTGACCAACTTTCTTAAAGCAGTTGTTGAACGCAGGGAAATGTAGTGCTTTCGTCAAGTAATCTGCCGGCTGCTCGGTCGTCGGAATGTACTGCAGCTTCATCTTGCGACGTTTCACCATGCTCTGCAGCCACATGTAGCGCCGCTCCATGTGCTTCAGCTTTCCCTTGAGCCCCATTCCTTCAGACACAGAAATCGCAGATTGATTGTCGACGTGGATAATCGTTGGTGACGTCTCGTCGAGTATGCGAAATTCTGCCATCAGAAAACGAAGCTTTCGGGCCTCCTTTCCAGCCTCCACTGCAGCGATGTACTCTGACTCTGTAGAAGAGTGAGTGATGCACCTGATCCTCTGACTTGCCCATGAAATAGCAGCTCCACCGAGAGTGAAAATGTAGCCACCCGTGCTGCTGCGATTCTGCTTGTCTCCTGCATCGTCTGCATCTGCGAAGCCGACGAGACGCATCTCTCCATTTCCGCCGCCGAACTCGAGAGCAACATCGCGCGTCCCAACAAGGTACGCAATGCAGCGGTCGAGCTCCCTCCAATGCTGGTCGCTTCGAACCGTTTGACCAGACGCAAGTTTGCTGCAGGCGAAGGAGATGTCGGGGCGAGTAGTGCAGGCAGCAAACTGCAAAGAGCCGACCCTCTGCCGATACTCTTCTTCTGTGCGCGCCTGCAACTTCTCGTCGTCAAATGTCAGCATCTTGAAGGCGTCGACCGAAATTGGCGTCTTCGGAACTCGCTGAGGAGGTCCTTCTGGCATAAAACGCCTCTGCACCCTGTCGACGTAGCCTCTCTGATGCAGCCAGATCTTCCCCGCTTCCCTGTCTCTGATCAGCTCAAGTCACAGGTACTTGTTGACAGGGCTGATCTCCCGCACTTTGAAGGCGTTTTTGAGCAGCGCCTTCAGTTCTGCCAGATGTTCCTTGCTGCGGCTCGCGGCGAGCAGATCGTCGACGTAGACGAGCACCCAGCACATGTCGTGGTTCTCGTCCTCGTGGAAGTAGAAAGCTTCGTCGACCTGACTCTTCGACCATCCTGCATCTTCCAGCACTTCGTCGAGGGCCTCGTACCACAACATCGGACTCTGCTTCAGTCCATACAGGCTTTTCTTCAGCATGTAGACTCGACCCGTCCCGTCGTTGTAGAACTCGGGCTGCTCCATGAAGAGAGGACGATCAAGTTTCGCATTCAAAAATGCATTTGTCATGTCGAGTTGCATCAACTCCAAATTTCCGTCAGCTGCGTTCGACAGATGCATCCGAGCAGTTCCGTAGCTTCCGACGGGGGCAGATATAGCGTCGAATTCGTCAGGGGTCTGCGTGTATCCTTTGACGACAAGTCGACCCTTCTCTCGGTCGACCGTATCGTCTGGGTTGTACTTTGTCGTCAGAACCCATCGATTCTTCATGACATTAACCCCAGGCGGGCGAGGAACCAGCTCCCAAGTCTCTTGATCGTAGAGAGTCTGCATCTCTGCATCCATTGCAGCTTTGACCGCTTCACCCTTCCAGCTTCGCAGAGCTTCTGCAACTGTCATGGTCGAAATGTCCCAACGATGATCCGTGTCGACGACGCACTCGTCAGCAGAGTCGAGCTCTTTCTGTACTACATCCTCATGCATGCCGTCGAGCGAAGTCGTCGTAAACATCGTTAGACCTTCGCGGAAGCGGAGCGGCTTCTCAATCTTTCGACCATAACGAGAAACCCGAACTGTTTCGTCTGCAGGTCCTTCTTCTGCAGGTTGCTCCTCTGCGACAATTTCTTCTAGCTCAGGCATTTCTTCTTCGACATTTTCTTCTGCAGGCAGCTCGTCTGCAGATCGATCTTCTGCCGATTGCTCTTCTGCGGATCGCTCTTCTGCGGATTTTTCGTCTGCAGGCTGTTCGACTTCTCGACGCTCATTGGCGACGACATTCATCGGCAATTTGCTCCCCTCTTCGCCAAGGAGTGTCGACAATGGCACCAATTTTTCAGTCGAAGGAAAGAACGTCGAAGAAGAGGCAGTCGACAGCTGCTCCCCTGTCGAAGAAGAATCAGAGCGGATGTCTTCTGCAGTGCGAACCTGCTCCGCGGAAGGAGCGTCATCTGCAGGAGAAGGGTCTTCTGCTGGAGGAGTCTCTGGCAACGGCGAGAGTTGCACTGGAGGGTTGTCAGGAGGCAGCTGCGGTCAAGGAATCGGCGTAGGCACGAGCAGAGGGGCTGGTGCCTTAGTCATTTCGTCATCATCGTCGTCATCATCCGCAGGATCCGTCGGGAATGATGCCACATTGTCGAGCGCAGCACGGTCGATGGTGGGACTCTGCTTCATCGCCTTCCACTCTGCAAGAGACATTGTCTCGTAGAAGATGGCCTCGACCGTGGTGATCAAACGGTTGGTCGACAAATCGAGGACCAACCACCCCTTACTCTGCTGCGAGACACCCAGGTGGAGACCCCAACGAGCTTTCGGCTCCAACTTCCCCCCCCGCTGACTCTCTGGAATGAGGTACTGCAGCATACACCCCCAAACTCGAGCCATCCCAAGGTCAGGCTTCTTTTCGAAGAGCACTTCATAAGGAGTTACCCCTGATGGCAGAGAGGAATGTTCCAGACGATTCCTCACCCAAACAGCTTGCAGAGCTGCAAGGTGCCACCAATGGTGGGGAGCTCCCATGTGCAGAAGCATTGTCCTAACTGCTTCGACGACAGTCCGCATTTCCCGTTCCGCCATCCCGTTCTCTGCGGCGTATAGGGGCAGGTGAGGTCGTGCTCAATCCCCTTCTCTTCGAGGAACTCGGTGAATTTACTTCCCAAAAATTCGCCACCTCGATCGGAGCGGAGAGCCTTCAGCGAAGCCTCACATTGCCTCTCTGCACGCGGAAGCCACTTCTGGAAAACGCGCAGAGCATCGCTTTTCTGCGCAATCGGGTAGATCCAGACGTAGCGAGATTTTCGATCCTTGAGCAGAAGAAAGTAGCGGCTGCCATCTTTCGCAGGAACTCGGAAGGGCCCGCAGAGATCGATGTGCACTACTCCCAGCACCTTCTGCTCTTCGCTCCCCTCTTGAGGGAAACTATGCCGAATAAGCTTTCCCCCCACACAAGAAACACACGGTAGATCAGGGTTGGCTGACTTGTCAATATCCAAGCCTGTCGCTGCACCATGCGTCGCCGTCTGCTTGATTGTTTCGACGCCCGCATGAGCTAGTCGAGGATGCCACACGACCATCTTCGCCCGTGTATCCGTCGCCAAGGTCCGCAGAGCAATCGCCTCCCCTGCCGATTTCTGCAGCGGCCACACCTGGAGATCTGTGCTGAGCACTCGTCCTCTATAACGAGCGCGTCCAAGGACTGTCCCATCAGTAGAGAGAAGGAGGGTCTCTTCACCTTCATCCTTCAGCTTTACTCCACAATCCTTCAGCTGCCCAGCAGACAACAGATTCGCATGGATTCCAGGCACGTAGAGCACACCAGGAATCAGAATCTGCTTCCCAGCTTCACCGCGTAGAGCGATTGTTCCGCGACCACACACGTCTTGGAATGCCCCGTTGAATCCGCGAACATGTTTAATGTCCACGCCTTCATGCATTTCGACAAAGGCTGCATCGTCGCCCATCAGATGATGTGAGCAGCCACTGTCGAGAAGAACAACTGAAGGATTGGCCTCGACGGCTGCAGCAATCGCCTGAAAATCCTCACCATCTTCCGCATTCAGCGAAATGAGCAGATCGGTCGTCTGCAGTTGGTCCACAACTGGTCCCACCATTGAACAAGAAGGTCCCTTTTTGTTGGTCGAATTGTAGTTGTCGCTCTGCGCTCCAGTCTTCGAAGAACTCTCCTTCTGCACGGAAGCATTGTTCTTCTTGTCAGCACGTTGTTCGCACTGGAACGCAAAGTGTCCGACTTCTCCGCAGACCCAGCAAGGTTTCTTCGAGCTCCGTTTGTTGTTCTGCTGTCGACCATCTTTCTTCTGCTGCTCCTTGTTCGACGATTTCTGCTCCGTAGAACTGCCAGTTGTCGAAGAAGACCAACGCTTCTGCTGCTGCTGCTGCTGCTGCTGCTGCTGTCCCGTCGACGCCCAGTTGACCTGTGGCAGAGGTGATTCCTTCCGCTTTTCGAGCTCGAGCGTGCACTCCTCCGCGATAATTCTGCTCGTCAAAGTGTTTTCGTCGAGAGTCTTGCAGTTTTCCGGAGATTGTAGCGTTCGTCGAAGGTACTTGTACTCCGCGGGAAGACCTGTAAGGACGTGAGTCACATACGAAGCCATAGAATAGTTCACGCCAGCCATTCGCAGATTAGCGAGAATCATCTGCGCACGATTGCAGTAGGTCGTCGCCGTCTCATGCTCCGCCATCTCTAGCGTCGCCAAGCTCCTCTCCAGCTGGCCGATATAGAGATAGTCCGTTGCTTTGTAGGTCTCCATGATGAAGCGCCATGCCTGATAGCCCGCGTCCACTCGAAGACGACATGACTTCAATGCGATCTTCACGGATGGAGAGCAGCAGCGCGATATCACCATAAAGGTCAGAAGTTGCGCCGAGCGAAATTGTGTATACTGCGAAATGTCGCTCAGCCGTGGAACCTTGATCGAGCCGTCGATGAACTGCTTCAGCTGCGCGATTTCAAGTTGAGGCTCGATGGACTCCCTCCACACGGATAAGTCATGACGTCCTTCCAGAAGCTTCGGCACCGTCATCTTGTCGGGAGAAAATTTGAAGTATCCGTAATCAGGAGCAATTCCGCCGTCTTTCGATGCCGATGGATGAGAAACCGCCAAGCTTCCACCAGTCTTCACTGCAGATCCTCGACCGCTCAAGCGTCCTTTGCCAGCCGCCTTCTTCTGACTTGCATCCGCCTTCTGCTGCGAGCCTTCTCCAGGGCTCATCGGTTCTCCTTGTCTTAGAACACCTCGTGGCCCCTGCATTCCGCCTTCCGCCAATTCTTCAGCGTTCTCGTCGTCTCCAGAAGTCTGCGATTCCTCGTCTCCCTCTGCACGAGTCGGTGGATGTTCCATTTCCCATTGAGCTCGTACTCCCAACAGCATGAAGTTGAGCTCCTGCTCGGTGAGGTTTCCACCTTCATGACGAGCAAGCACCGCAGCCTCCCGCTCACTTAGACTGTCGATTCCCTCAAGGATATCCTCAGTATCCTCCATGTCGACTAGCTAAGTTCAATGAGACCTAACGTCGAAGAACGGATTCTTCGCGTGTTCGATCCACGCTCACCGCACCATGCAGAGATTTCTGCTCTAACGGGTGAACGAGCTCTACGGAATGCTTCTCTGCAGCCACGCAACTTTGTTGTTCACTAAGGAGAAAATTGGCTAAGTGTTGAAAAAGGCATAGATTTGGCACACACAGAAAATTCACTAGAATTGTAAAGATAGAATATAACAAGGGGTGAAATAGAAGCTACCCAACCAATGAACCATGTAGAGAACGTTCGCCCAAGAACGTTTACATAACTACTTTTAGCTGCGCTTTGCCAACTCAGCGTCGGCAGGTGAAAATTACAACATGTGCTTAGTAGGTAATTTTTACCTACATAAAAGTAGTTGTTTTAGCTGTTCAGGTTGTTTTAAACAACTTCTGTAACGCACGTTTTCGTAGTTACGAAAACGTGCGCCAGGTTCATTCTGTGCAGGTGGTTCAATTTCGCCCCATATTGAAAACCCCAGTTCCGCGCACTGTTCCCCGGGGTCAATTTCTCAATGTCCGCAATGTTCCGAAATTCCCACGCAAAAGTTCCGAAACGATCGCGTTTTCGCGTCGGAGAGGTTCGTCGGTCGAGAATGTGCTTCTCTGCAGAAATCCGTTTCTGCAGACGCGCCTTTCTCTGCAGAACGATTTCTGCAGATGCGCACTCTTCTGCAGATGCGCACTCTTCTGCAGATGCGCACTCTTCTGCAGATGCGCACTCTTCTGCAGCAGAACCTTCTGCTTCTCCGAATTCCCTCTGCTGCAAAGTTCCGCGTAATCCTCTGCAGCATTCGCTTCGGCGGAATTTCGCTCCCCTGCAGAAGGCGACGACCATCTTCTGCAGGGTCAATGCCAGCTCAACAACCTGGGCAGGGCGGTCAGTCGCTCGCAGGACAGCTTCAGCTGGACAAGATTCGACAGCTGCCCGAAATCCTCGGGCAGCACCCACGCAGCGCAACCGTCAAGAGTGAGGCGGGCGAGGGAGCACATGGCGGAGGCCAAGCGCGGGAGACCCACGAGGCGGCTGCAACTGACGACTTTGAGCTCGCGAAGGCGAGAGGCGCGACCAAGGGAGTCCGGAAGGGCCGTGAGGGCGTCGAGAAAGATGAGGTCGAGGCGTTGCAGGGTGGGGATGTGGCCCATGGCGTCCGGCAGGGATGAGAGCGCTTGGCAGTTGTGGAGCGAGAGGCGCTCGAGCGTGCGGCTGGCAGAGAGCGACTGCGGGAGGTGCTTGAGGCGACCGCTGTCTCGAATGGCGAGGTCACGCAGCGCTGGCAGGTGACCTAAGGATTATGGGAGGGCAGTGAGGGCGATTAGCGCTTCCAGGTGGATGGTGCGCAGATTCGGCAGCTGGTGAAAGTTTTCGGGCAGTTTTGCGAGCGCGAGTGCACGAGGGTCAGACTGGTAAGCGCGGAGAGGAGGCAGATGGAGGCGGGCAGCTCGACGAGCTGCATCAGGGTTTTGAGAGTGAGGCTCTTGAGGTTTTGGAGCTGCCCGAGGTCGCTGGGCAGATGGGAAAAATCGCAGCCGCGCAAGCTGACGTGCTCCAAGGAGGACAGCCCGCAAAACGAATCAGGCAGCACGAGGGAAGTCGACCGGATTTGTAACCGCTTCAGTCGCACCAAACTGCCAATCTCCGCCGGTAACGTGGTAACATCTTCGTCAAAGGACATGCTGAGCTTCATGAGCTGCTGCAGGCAGCTGATGGCAGCGGGAACCTCGGAAATCCCTCTCCCAAAGTTCACGTCGAGACTGACCAATCGCGTGCAAGAGCGGAACAAGGCGATGACATCGGCCGGCGAGATCGCCCCCGCCGCTAGCGCCGCTTCCGCCACTGCCGCCGCCTGCGCGCCAATCCCACGAAGAGAGAACCGTCGCGCGCGCGTCACGTGCAGCCAGGCATCGTGTAGCTGCAGCGTGAGGTGGATTAAGGACGGCCCAGATCCGGCGCAGATGGCGCGCACGAGCGCGGAATCGACGGTGTCCAGCGCGTTCGGCGCGAGGTGCAGATGGCGGAGGTTGGGGAACCCCGCGGTCGCGGGCGCGCGGAGGAGAGACGCGAGGGCGCGCGCGGAAAAGAAGCGATCGAGCGGAACGACGATGGCGGGATGTACGAACCGCGCGACGCGCAACCAGCGCTTGCAGACGAGCGCGTGGCGGAACGAGACCAGCGACGACGAACACCTAACGGGAGCCTCGGGATTTGCGGCCAGCCACGCGCTCTCAGAGGGGAGCTGCTCAAGGAGGGCCTCGTCGATCTTCCTTGCCGCATCGGCTTCTTCCTCGTCGGTCACAGGACGATCCTGGCTAACGAATCTGACGCCGTTGCACGCCACGCGCAGCAGCACGGCGCCCAGCAGGTTGTCGGAGAACGCAGAGAAGGGATCGCCGTCGGTTCGCCTGGCCTGTTGCTGCGGTGGTGCTTCACGACCCGAAGCCTCGGCCATGTTTGATCTGGCGATTCTGCTGTGCTTGCTCGAACGGGCGAGGATACAGGATGACAAGAGATATCTGAACTTACGAATACGGCAGTGTGCGGTGGAAATCTGCGGCTTGACAAGAGTTGGGAGTGCAAGGGTGCGGTGCGGTCTCAAAGCTCGATTAGCTGATGAGATTGTGCAGCATATCACCACTCGAACACCCCTGACCTTCTGGCGGACATGAAGCGAGGACAAGCAAGCGGGAAAGCAAGCACACTCAGACAAGGCGAGCAGCATGGCATGCGGGGCAGGCGAGGCTTGATTGCGAGAACGAAGGGTAGATGTGACAAGTGGCAGACCCACAACGAAATCAAGGAATGCGCTTCGATGCCAGCCATCACGGGTCGCAATTCCGAGTATTTGATATAAGCGTTACAGTGAGAACGAATGGAAAATTCCTTACAGGTAAGATGCTTTTCAGATAAATAGGGTGTAGAGGCTAGACCGACTGCTGCACATTTTAAATCATGGTAAGAATACAGCTTCATATTGTCGGCCAAGCCGAGTTTTACACTCAAGGCATTTCACCTGATTAATTTGAGGCGTGAGCAGGTCACATGGCAGGAAGTGGCTAGAAGCGTTTGTGTTTGACGTGCCAGACTCGCCAGCGGTTGCGGCCGACAAGGAATGCCAGATATGCCAGCACCGCCCCCCCGCCCCACACCGACCACGCCACTGGCGCCTCCTGGCGGCACGGCGAAACACACAGCAGGGAGGGGTGAGGCGAGAGGCACACAGGGAGGGGTGAGGCGAGAGGCACACAGGGAGGGGTGAGGCGAGAGGCACACAGGGAGGGGTGAGGCGAGAGGCACACAGGGAGGGGTGAGGCGAGAGGCACACAGGGAGGGGTGAGGCGAAAGGCACACAGGGAGGGGTGAGGCGAGAGGCACACAGGGAGGGACACCGACGACATGTGGGGTTTGCACGGGAGCAATGGATGGAATGCCATGGCATGGTAAGAGGGAGGGGAAGGGAGGTGAGAGGTAGGGGAAGAGGGCGGACCTGGAAGCAGGAGAAGGAGGTGTGCATGTCCTGCGCGGACTGCCCCGCCAGCTCAAACAGCGCGTCCATGTCATGCCGCGCCGACCGCGCATAGTACCCCGCCAAGTGCATGTCCACTGCGGACAGGGCCGCCGCGGCGCGCTGCAGCTTGTGGCGCAGCACCCCCCAGCGCTGCTCAAAGCGCTGCCTCACCGCGCCCGGCTTCAGCGCCGCCTCCTCCGACCCGTACCTCTGGTGGTACAGGGGTGGTGGGGGGGACATGGGAGGGGAGGGGAGCGGAATGAGAAGGCGGTCAGGCACGGCACAGAAGGAGGAGGGCAGTGACGCTTTGGGTTGAGGCGCGGCTTGGGGGGCAAGGAGTGCCGAGCAGAACACATGGCGAGGGAAGATGGTAAGGGGAGGGAGACTGGGAGGGGGGAAAAGGAGGGGAGACGGGGAGATGAGAAGGTGACGGGAGAGGGAGAGGGGCGGGGGAGAAGGAGAGGGAAGAATGCAAGGGGAGAGGGCGTGGGGAGAAGGGAAGAGAAGCGGGGCACCTGGAGCGCGGAGAGGAGGTGGAGCATGCTGGAGATGGTGGAGTTGAGCGTGGACAGCACCACGTTGCGCAGCGCCGTGTCGCGCATCGTGGTGGTGACAGTGAGGTGGCGTGAGAAGGGGCCCATGGGCGTCATGCCGCTGCTCCACCGGTAGTCGTGCTGCGATGCATTGTGGATGGCGCTCCATGCCTCGTGGCTGGTGGGGTGCATGGCACATGGCAGATGGGAAGGAGTGGACGGGAGATGCAACGTGGTGAGAGCATGCATGGGCAGCGAGGATGGCATCGGCATTGTGGTGTGGACGGGATGGCGAGACATGAACGTGCATGCATAACAGCCATGCATGTTCCACGTGCATGTGCATGTGCAGACAAGGTGGCGTGTGCATGACGAAAGCAGGCGGCAGCAGGGGGCAGCGGGGGGCAGCAGGCAACGGCAGAGGCGAGCAGACGGCAGCAGGGGCGAGCCGGGGGCGATAGGGCGCGAGAAGGGGGCAACAGGGGTGCAGCAGCGGAAGAGGCATACGTGGGGGCAAGGCCCCAGGCGGTGTGCAGGATGGCGGAGAGCACGGGGCGCGTGACGTTGCTGGGATCCATGTCCACCCCCTCGCCCTCGCACCTGGTCGTGGTGCACACACAAGGGGGGGGGGTGGGGTTGGGGGTGGAGAAAGCGGGAGGGGCAGACAGGCAGGGCGTTTGAGGCAGGCAGCAGAGGGGGAATGAGAAGGTCACAGAAGGTGCAGCAACGAAAGTCAGATTCATGGTACTGTGACCATCTGCTACACCTCCCATCCCCTCGCTCTCCCTCCTTTCCCCCGCTCCTCCCGTCAACCCCTGCGCCTCCCATCCACCCTCCTTCCCTCGCCCTCAACCCGCGCCCCCCATGCCCCTCCACGCCCCCTATGGCCTCGTGCGCCTCACATGTAGTGCGAGGGCAGCGGCGGGGCCGTGGAGCGCACAGCCAGCACCATGTCGTCATATGCCAGCGCCTGATGGGGGGTGAGGTGGGGGGGAGGGAGGAGAGACAAGCACGGTGGCAGCATGGCGAGAGAACATGGGGGCAGAGAGGAGAGAATGCAGCACTTTAATAAACAAAGCTGCACATTGCACAAGGGGATTGCCGCATGCCTTCACCCGCCTTGTACCCCTTTGCACCCCCACTCTCCGCCGTCCATGTGCCATGGGCATTACCCGGTGGCGGCCATCCAGCAGCAGCGGGAATGGCTCGTGCAGGTGGAAGAGGAAGACGGGGAAGAAGCGCCCTGCGTGGGGGTTGGCGTCGTTGCGCTCCGCATAGTCCGGCAGTGCCAGCCCCGCTAGCTCTGGGAGCGGTGGTTGGGGTGGGGAGGGCATGGGGTGGTGCGAGTTAGCACAGCACAGCACAGCACAGCACAGCAGCATTGCATGTGTGAAGCAGGAAGCTGCAGTCAGCATGGTTCAGGTGGGGCTCACCAGTGATCTCGGGCCAGAACTCCGACAGGTGGCGGTGCAGATCCTCCGAGTCCAGGTGGCGCCGCACCTCCATGCCACCTGGCACGCCTGCTGCTGAGCTGGAAGCAGCACCAGCGGAGGCCTCATACAGGCCAGACTGGCGGGGTGGCGGGTGGCGGGTGGCGGGTGGCGGGTGGCAAGGGGGAAGAGAAGGGAAAGGAAGAGGCGAGGAGAGGAGAGGAGGAGAGGTTGAAGTCAGGGTACGGCTTCACCTCCACCTCTTGTGCTCCAATCTCTGTGTGTAAGCTTGACACAACACATTTGCCCGTCCAATATCGGGCACGAAATAATCCTTTGCGCAACCGAGGTAAATGCTTGTCCTTGCTTTAAGGGTCAAGCAGCGCGTGGATGAGGAACAGATGAGAGAAGCAAACAGCGATGCGAGGCATGAGAGGAAAGGGAGCAGGATTTGTAAAGAGCGCACCCGCATGGCGCGGTGCAGAGCGGTGGAGCAGAAGGAGCAGGTGGCGAGGGAGAGGTGGACCTGCTTGAAGCGCACCTGCTGCCCCCCCAGCACCACCGGTGGTGAGCGCGCTAGCAGCTGCGCGGGTGACGGGGGTGAGGATGCAGTTGTGAGGGGTTGGAGGGGTGGGACCGTGGGGAAGAAAAGTGAGCACAACCATTGCAGGCTAGGGTGCCACAGGATTTTGATGAGTTCAGAATGAATGAGAGAGGGGAATGGGCAGGTGCGTGAGATGAGGCGTGCGTGGGGCGCAGACGGCCCAGCAGCACCTGGTCCCCTTCACCCACCATCCACGCTTGCCATGCACCACGCGGCCCCAGCCTCCCTCGTGCACGCCTCACCTGGTCCTTGATGGCGGTGAGGTCCAGCATACGTATAAAGTTTCGACCTGGATCCAGTAGGTGACTCGTCCTACTCCAACAGGTAACTTGTCCTAATGGCAGAGCTTAGGCTAGTAGGGATAGCCTCACCTGGTCCTTGATGGTGGTGAGGTCCAGCATACGTATAAAGTTTCGACCTGGATCCAGCAGGTGACTCGTCCTACTCCAACAGGTAACTTGTCCTAATGGCAGAGCTTAGGCTAGTAGGGATAGCCTCACCTGGTCCTTGATGGCGGTGAGGTCCAGCATACGTATAAAGTTTCGACCTGGATCCAGCAGGTGACTCGTCCTACTCCAACAGGTAACTTGTCCTAATGGCAGAGCTTAGGCTAGTAGGGATAGCATCACCTGGTCCTTGATGGCGGTGAGGTCCAGCATACGTATAAAGTTTCGACCTGGATCCAGCAGGTGACTCGTCCTACTCCAACAGGTAACTTGTCCTAATTGGCAGAGCTTAGGCTAGTAGGGATAGCATCACCTGGTCCTTGATGGCGGTGAGGTCCAGCATACGTATAAAGTTTCGACCTGGATCCAGCAGGTAACTTGTCCTAATGGCAGAGCTTAGGCTAGTAGGGATAGCCTCACCTGGTCCTTGATGGCGGTGAGGTCCAGCATACGTATAAAGTTTCGACCTGGATCCAGCAGGTGACTCGTCCTACTCCAACAGGTAACTTGTCCTAATGGCAGAGCTTAGGCTAGTAGGGATAGCCTCACCTGGTCCTTGATGGCGGTGAGGTCCAGCATACGTATAAAGTTTCGACCTGGATCCAGCAGGTGACTCGTCCTACTCCAACAGGTAACTTGTCCTAATGGCAGAGCTTAGGCTAGTAGGGATAGCCTCACCTGGTCCTTGATGGCGGTGAGGTCCAGCATACGTATAAAGTTTCGACCTGGATCCAGCAGGTGACTCGTCCTACTCCAACAGGTAACTTGTCCTAATGGCAGAGCTTAGGCTAGTAGGGATAGCCTCACCTGGTCCTTGATGGCGGTGAGGTCCAGCATACGTATAAAGTTTCGACCTGGATCCCGCAGGTGACTCGTCCTACTCCAACAGGTAACTTGTCCTAATGGCAGAGCTTAGGCTAGTAGGGATAGCCTCACCTGGTCCTTGATGGCGGTGAGGTCCAGCATACGTATAAAGTTTCGACCTGGATCCAGCAGGTGACTCGTCCTACTCCAACAGGTAACTTGTCCTAATGGCAGAGCTTAGGCTAGTAGGGATAGCCTCACCTGGTCCTTGATGGCGGTGAGGTCCAGCATACGTATAAAGTTTCGACCTGGATCCAGCAGGTGACTCGTCCTATTCCAACAGGTAACTTGTCCTAATGGCAGAGCTTAGGCTAGTAGGGATAGCCTCACCTGGTCCTTGATGGCGGTGAGGTCCAGCATACGTATAAAGTTTCGACCTGGATCCAGCAGGTGACTCGTCCTACTCCAACAGGTAACTTGTCCTAATGGCAGAGCTTAGGCTAGTAGGGATAGCCTCACCTGGTCCTTGATGGCGGTGCGGTCCAGCATACGTATAAAGTTTCGACCTGGATCCAGCAGGTGACTCGTCCTACTCCAACAGGTAACTTGTCCTAATGGCAGAGCTTAGGCTAGTAGGGATAGCCTCACCTGGTCCTTGATGGCGGTGAGGTCCAGCATACGTATAAAGTTTCGACCTGGATCCAGCAGGTGACTCGTCCTACTCCAACAGGTAACTTGTCCTAATGGCAGAGCTTAGGCTAGTAGGGATAGCCTCACCTGGTCCTTGATGGCGGTGAGGTCCAGCATACGTATAAAGTTTCGACCTGGATCCAGCAGGTGACTCGTCCTACTCCAACAGGTAACTTGTCCTAATGGCAGAGCTTAGGCTAGTAGGGATAGCCTCACCTGGTCCTTGATGGCGGTGAGGTCCAGCATACGTATAAAGTTTCGACCTGGATCCAGCAGGTGACTCGTCCTACTCCAACAGGTAACTTGTCCTAATGGCAGAGCTTAGGCTAGTAGGGATAGCCTCACCTGGTCCTTGATGGCGGTGAGGTCCAGCATACGTATACAGTTTCGACCTGGATCCAGCAGGTGACTCGTCCTACTCCAACAGGTAACTTGTCCTAATGGCAGAGCTTAGGCTAGTAGGGATAGCCTCACCTGGTCCTTGATGGCGGTGCGGTCCAGCATACGTATAAAGTTTCGACCTGGATCCAGCAGGTGACTCGTCCTACTCCAACAGGTAACTTGTCCTAATGGCAGAGCTTAGGCTAGTAGGGATAGCCTCACCTGGTCCTTGATGGCGGTGAGGTCCAGCATACGTATAAAGTTTCGACCTGGATCCAGCAGGTGACTCGTCCTACTCCAACAGGTAACTTGTCCTAATGGCAGAGCTTAGGCTAGTAGGGATAGCCTCACCTGGTCCTTGATGGCGGTGAGGTCCAGCATACGTATAAAGTTTCGACCTGGATCCAGCAGGTGACTCGTCCTACTCCAACAGGTAACTTGTCCTAATGGCAGAGCTTAGGCTAGTAGGGATAGCCTCACCTGGTCCTTGATGGCGGTGAGGTCCAGCATACGTATAAAGTTTCGACCTGGATCCAGCAGGTGACTCGTCCTACTCCAACAGGTAACTTGTCCTAATGGCAGAGCTTAGGCTAGTAGGGATAGCCTCACCTGGTCCTTGATGGCGGTGAGGTCCAGCCACATGCCCTCATCGCCTGCATGCCCGCCTTCTCCGGTAGCGCTGTGCATGGCAACGCCCAGATGTCGGTGGTCACCGCGTACACCACGGGCGCATGCAGCAGCGGCGGCACAAACACATGCCGCACCGCATTGTCCACCAGCACTGCCACGTGCGCCAGGAACGCCTGTGGGGGGGGCAGAGGAGGGCGGGGAGGGGAAGGGCGTGTGGGAGGGGAGGGAAGGGAGGGGCAGGGAGGGGGTAGTGGACGTGAGTGAAGCAGTGGGTGGCAGTGCTGCCGCCCTCCCAATGGCTGCTTGCGGGCACGACTGGGAAGACCCACACTGCCATGGTGGGAGGCGATTGGGTTAATTCGGGAGCGGGCGAGGGGGAGAGCAGCAGATGCGTGCAGAGGGAGGAGGAGGTGCATGCAGCGATGGCAGGCAGACGTGAGAGCAGCACGAGCAATCTCACACATGCACGCGTGCTCGCCCATCTCCCATGTGTGCTCACCCCGTGCAGCAGCTCCTTGCTGTATTGCTCTCACCCCGTACAGCAGCTCCTTGCTGTACTGCTCTGCCCGCAGGTACGCGGCGGGCGTGACGCCCCCCCGCCCCTCCCACGCCGGCCCGTAGCTCACCGGCCCCGCCGTCAGATCCACCCACACGTAGCGCTGCCGGAAGGGGAGGAGAAGAGAAGGGGGGAGAAAGGAGTCGGGAGATGGGGCATGTGAGGAGAGACACAAGTGAGCCATGGTGAGAGCTGGCTAGTGGCCAAGCACAGGCAGGTGCAAGCACAGGCAGGTGCAAGCACAGGCAGGTGCAAGCACAGGCAGGTGCAGCGAGCGAGGGGCAGCGAGCGAGGGGCAGCGAGCGAGGGGCAGCAAGCGAGGGGCAGCGAGCGAGGGGCAGCGAGCGAGGGGCAGCAAGCGAGGGGCAGCGAGCGAGGGGCAGCGAGCGGGGGACAGCGAGCGGGGGGCAGCGAGCGCGGGGCAGCGAGCGCGGGGCAGCGAGCGAGGGGCAGCGAGCGAGGGGCAGCAAGCGAGGGGCAGCGAGCGAGGGGCAGCAAGCGAGGGGCAGCAAGCGATGGGCAGCAAGCGATGGTGGCACACAGCGCCACAAAGCATGAGCGCAGGAGGTGACCTCATCGTGGAAGGAGGTGCCCGGGCACACGGTGTCCCCCCGGCTGCCATACGAGTACGCGTAGCGCCGCGGCATCACCCGCGGGTTCAGCACGTACACCGCGTAGCCCCCCCCCGCCCCGCTGCCCTCCCCGCCAGCAGCAGCGGGGGGTGTGAGCGTGGCAGCGTCGGAGCGCACGTGGGTGTCGACCAGCGTGTGCGGCAGCAGCACCACCCCGCCCTCACCCACCCGCCCCATGGCCTGCCATGTGCGGGGGGGGGGGGGGGGGAGTGGAAGTGGTGAGATGGGGGCAAGGGAATGCTCTTGCCCTATTTGGAGCAGCGCGTGCAGGGTGCATGGAGGGGCGCGTGCAGGGTGCATGGAGGGGAGACACATTGTATGGGCGGGATGGGTGGTGCGGCGTGGCATGGATGAAACCACAAGCAAGCACACACTCTTGCCTGCCCTAATCCATCACCACCTTGATAAACACCTCAGTCTCACCAACCAAGCTCCACTACTTGACAGCTCTTGTCCTGTAGCTCACAAATCTCCTGTCATCCAACTCTATTAAGATTCCAACTCCTCCATATAACCACCCCTGCGTGCGAATGCGGTTGTGTGTGAGTGAGGGTGCATGTGAGTGAGAGTACGTGTGAGTGTGAGTGCGCGTGAGTGCGAGTGCGTGCGAGTGCGTGTGAGTGCGAGTGCGTGTGAGTGCGAGTGCGTGTGAGTGTGATTGCGTGTGAGTGCGAGTGCAAGAGCGAGTGCGTGTACGTGCGAGTGCGTGTGAGTGCGAGTGCGTGTGAGTGCGAGTGCGTGTGAGTGCGAGTGAGTGCGTGTGAGTGCGAGTGCGCGTGAGTGCTAATGCGTGTGAGTGGGAGTGCGTGTGAGTGCGAGTGCGTGCGAGTGCGAGTGCGTGTGAGTGGGAGTGCGTGTGAGTGCGAGTGCGTGTGAGTGCGAGTGCGTGTGAGTGCGAGTGCGTGTGAGTGTGATTGCGTGTGAGTGCGAGTGCGTGTACGTGCGAGTGCGTGTACGTGCGAGTGCGTGTGAGTGCGAGTGAGTGCGTGTGAGTGCGAGTGCGAGTGCGCGTGAGTGCGAATGCGTGTGAGTGGGAGTGCGTGTGAGTGCGAGTGTGTGCGAGTGCGAGTGCGTGTGAGTGCGAGTGCGTGTAAGTGCGAGTGCGTGCGAGCGTGAGTGACTGCGAGTGCGAGTGCATGCGAGTGCCAGTGCGTGTGAGTGGGAGTGCATGTGAGTGTGAGTGCGTGTGAGTGTGAGCGCGTGTGAGTGTGAGTGCGTGTGAGTGGGAGTGCGTGTGATTGTGAGTGCGTGTGAGTACGTGTGAGTGTGAGTGCGAGTGCGTGTACGTGCGAGTGCGTGTGAGTGCGAGTGCGTGTGAGTGCGAGTGCGTGTGAGTGCGAGTGCGTGTGAGTGCGAGTGCGTGTGAGTGCGAGTGCATGTGAGTGCGAGTGCGTGTGAGTGTGAGTGCGTGTGAGTGCGAGCGCGTGTGAGAGCGAGTGCGTACGAGTGCGTGTGAGTGCGAGTGCGTATGAGTGTGAGTGCATGTGAGTGCGAGTGCGTGTACGTGCGAGTGCGTGTGGGTGCGAGTGCGTGTGAGTGCGAGTGCGTGTGAGTGTGAGTGCGCCTGAGTGTGAGCGCGTGAGAGTGCGAGTGCGTGTGAGTGCGAGTGCGTATGAGTGCGAGTGCGTGTGAGTGCGAGTGCGTGTGATTGCGTGTGAGTGCGAGTGCGTGTACGTGCGAGTGCGTGTACATGCGAGTGCGTGTGAGTGCGAGTGCGTGTGAGTGCGAGTGCGTGTGAGTGCGAGTGTGTGTGAGTGTGAGAGCGTGTGAGTGCGAGTGCGTGTGAGTGCAAGTGCGTGTGAGTGCGAGTGCGTCTGAGTGTGAGCGCGTGAGAGTGCGAGTGCGTGCGAGTGCGAGTGCGTGTGAGTGCGAGTGCGTGTGAGTGCGAGTGCGTGTGATTGCGTGTGAGTGCGAGTGCGTGTACGTGCGAGTGCGTGTGGGTGCGAGTGCGTGTGAGTGCGAGTGCGTGTGAGTGTGAGTGCGCCTGAGTGTGAGCGCGTGAGAGTGCGAGTGCGTGTGAGTGCGAGTGCGTATGAGTGCGAGTGCGTGTGAGTGCGAGTGCGTGTGATTGCGTGTGAGTGCGAGTGCGTGTACGTGCGAGTGCGTGTACATGCGAGTGCGTGTGAGTGCGAGTGCGTGTGAGTGCGAGTGCGTGTGAGTGCGAGTGTGTGTGAGTGTGAGAGCGTGTGAGTGCGAGTGCGTGTGAGTGCAAGTGCGTGTGAGTGCGAGTGCGTCTGAGTGTGAGCGCGTGAGAGTGCGAGTGCGTGCGAGTGCGAGTGCGTGTGAGTGCGAGTGCGTGTGAGTGCGAGTGCGTGTGATTGCGTGTGAGTGCGAGTGCGTGTACGTGCGAGTGCGTGTACATGCGAGTGCGTGTGAGTGCGAGTGCGTGTGAGTGCGAGTGCGTGTGAGTGCGAGTGCGTGTGAGTGTGAGAGCGTGTGAGTGCGAGTGCGTGTGAGTGCGAGTGCATATGAGTGCGAGTGCGTGTGAGTGCGAGTGCGTGTGATTGCGTGTGAGGGCGAGTGCGTGTACGTGCGAGTGCGTGTACATGCGAGAGCGTGTGAGTGCGAGTGCGTGTGAGTGCGAGTGCATGTGAGTGCGAGTGCGTGCGAGTGCGAGTGCGTGCGAGTGCGAGTGCGTGTGAGTGCCAGTGCGTGCGAGTGCGTGTGAGTGCGAGTGCGTGTGAGTGCGAGTGCGTGTGAGTGCGAGTGCGTGCGAGTGCGAGTGCGTGTGAGTGCGAGTGCGTGTGAGTGCGAGTGCGTGTGAGTGCGAGTGCATATGAGTGCGAGTGCGTGTGAGTGCGAGTGCGTGTGATTGCGTGTGAGGGCGAGTGCGTGTACGTGCGAGTGCGTGTACATGCGAGAGCGTGTGAGTGCGAGTACGTGTGAGTGCGAGTGCGTGTGAGTGCGAGTGCGTGCGAGTGCGAGTGCGTGTGAGTGCCAGTGCGTGCGAGTGCGAGTGCGTGCGAGTGCGTGTGAGTGCGAGTGCGTGTGAGTGCGAGTGCATGTGAGTGCGAGTGCGTGTGAGTGCGAGTGCGTGTGAGTGCGAGTGCGTGTGAGTGCGAGTGCGTGTACGTGCGAGTGCGTGTGAGTGCGAGTGCGTGTGAGTGCGAGTGCGTGTGAGTGCGAGTGCGTGTGAGTGCGAGTGCGTGTGAGTGCGAGTGCGTGTGAGTGCGAGTGCATGTGAGTGCGAGTGCGTGTGAGTGTGAGTGCGTGCGAGTGCCAGTGCGTGTGAGTGCGAGTGCGTGCGAGTGCGAGTGCGTGTGAGTGCCAGTGCGTGCGAGTGCGAGTGCGTGCGAGTGCGTGTGAGTGCGAGTGCGTGTGAGTGCGAGTGCATGTGAGTGCGAGTGCGTGTGAGTGCGAGTGCGTGTGAGTGCGAGTGCGTGTGAGTGCGAGTGCGTGTACGTGCGAGTGCGTGTGAGTGCGAGTGCGTGTGAGTGCGAGTGCGTGTGAGTGCGAGTGCGTGTGAGTGCGAGTGCGTGTGAGTGCGAGTGCGTGTGAGTGCGAGTGCATGTGAGTGCGAGTGCGTGTGAGTGTGAGTGCGTGCGAGTGCCAGTGCGTGTGAGTGCGAGTGCGTGTGAGTGCGAGTGCGTGCGAGTGCGAGTGCGTGCGAGTGCCAGTGCGTGCGAGTGCGAGTGCGTGCGAGTGCGTGTGAGTGCGAGTGCATGTGAGTGCGAGTGCATGTGAGTGCGAGTGCGTGTGAGTGCGAGTGCGTGTGAGTGCGAGTGCGTGTGAGTGCGAGTGCGTGTGATTGCGTGTGAGTGCGAGTGCGTGTACGTGCGAGTGCGTGTACATGCGAGTGCGTGTGAGTGCGAGTGCGTGTGAGTGCGAGTGCGTGTGAGTGCGAGTGCGTGTGAGTGTGAGAGCGTGTGAGTGCGAGTGCGTGTGAGTGCGAGTGCGTGTGAGTGCGAGTGCGTGTGAGTGCGAGTGCGTGTGAGTGCGAGTGCGTGCGAGTGCGAGTGCGTGCGAGTGCGAGTGCGTGCGAGTGCGTGTGAGTGCGAGTGCGTGTGAGTGCGAGTGCGTGTGAGTGCGAGTGCGTGTGAGTGCGAGTGCGTGTGAGTGCGAGTGCGTGTGAGTGCGAGTGCGTGTGAGTGTGAGTGCGTGTGAGTGCGAGCGCGTGTGAGAGCGAGTGCGTACGAGTGCGTGTGAGTGCGAGTGCGTATGAGTGTGAGTGCATGTGAGTGCGAGTGCGTGTACGTGCGAGTGCGTGTGGGTGCGAGTGCGTGTGAGTGCGAGTGCGTGTGAGTGCGAGTGCGTGTGAGTGCGAGTGCGTGTGAGTGCGAGTGCGTGCGAGTGCGAGTGCGTGTGAGTGCCAGTGCGTGCGAGTGCGAGTGCGTGCGAGTGCGTGTGAGTGCGAGTGCGTGTGAGTGCGAGTGCATGTGAGTGCGAGTGCGTGTGAGTGCGAGTGCGTGTGAGTGCGAGTGCGTGTGAGTGCGAGTGCGTGTACGTGCGAGTGCGTGTGAGTGCGAGTGCGTGTGAGTGCGAGTGCGTGTGAGTGCGAGTGCGTGTGAGTGCGAGTGCGTGTGAGTGCGAGTGCGTGTGAGTGCGAGTGCATGTGAGTGCGAGTGCGTGAGAGTGAGAGTGCGTGCGAGTGCCAGTGCGTGTGAGTGCGAGTGCGTGCGAGTGCGAGTGCGTGCGAGTGCGAGTGCGTGCGAGTGCGAGTGCGTGCGAGTGCGAGTGCGTGCGAGTGCGTGTGAGTGCGAGTGCGTGTGAGTGCGAGTGCATGTGAGTGCGAGTGCGTGTGAGTGCGAGTGCGTGTGAGTGCGAGTGCGTGTGAGTGCGAGTGCGTGTGATTGCGTGTGAGTGCGAGTGCGTGTACGTGCGAGTGCGTGTACATGCGAGTGCGTGTGAGTGCGAGTGCGTGTGAGTGCGAGTGCGTATGAGTGCGAGTGCGTGTGAGTGCGAGTGCGTGTGAGTGCGAGTGCGTGTGAGTGCGAGTGCGTGTGAGTGCGAGTGCGTGTGAGTGCGAGTGCGTGCGAGTGCGAGTGCGTGCGAGTGCGAGTGCGTGCGAGTGCGTGTGAGTGCGAGTGCGTGTGAGTGCGAGTGCGTGTGAGTGCGAGTGCGTGTGAGTGCGAGTGCGTGTGAGTGCGAGTGCGTGTGAGTGCGAGTGCGTGTGAGTGCGAGTGCGTGTGAGTGCGAGTGCGTGTGAGTGCGAGTGCGTGTGAGTGCGAGTGCGTGTGAGTGCGAGTGCGTGTGAGTGCGAGTGCGTGTGAGTGGGAGTGCGTGTGAGTGTGAGCGCGTGTGAGTGCGAGTGCGTGTGAGTGCGAGTGCGTGTGATTCGGAGTGCGTGTACGTGCGAGTGCGTGTGAGTGCGAGTGCGTGTGAGTGCGAGTGCGTGTGAGTTCGAGTGCGTGTGAGTGCGAGTGCGTGTGAGTGCGAGTGCGTGTGAGTGTGAGTGCGTGTGAGTGCGAGTGCGTGTGTGCATGAGAGCCTCACCCGTCCAACGAAGCGGAAGATGTCAGCGGAGATGGCAGAGGCCAGGCGCCTGGGCGCACGCGACACTGAGAACGCCACGCGCTGCCGCACTGCCAGCGCGTGTGACTGAGTGGGGGGAAGAGGAGTGGGGAGGGGCGGGCGTCTGGAAGGAGAAACGGTGGCAGCAGGGTGGGGTCTGAGGGGAGGAGAAGGCCGAGGGGTGCGAGGGGCGGCTGCGGACAGCGAGAGGACGCAGGGCATGGACGGGCAGAGAGGGTGGCGGGGCGGTGGAAAGGCAGGAGGAGCATGTGGTTCTAGAAGTGAGGGCAGAGGGTGGATGGCGAGGGGCAGAACGGGCAGAGGTGGCAGAGTGTGATGCATGCACATGTGATGCATGCGAACGGAAACGGAGGCAAAAAAGGCAGAGAGAAGTTTAAGAGGTGGATGAAGATGGCGTGGAGGAGAACTGGGCCAATGGATGGGGCAGTGAATGCCTTACCTCACCATGAATGCCATACCTCACCATGAATGCCATACCTCCCCATGAATGCCATACCTCGCCATGAATGCCATACCTCGCCATGAATGCCATACCTCGCCATGAATGCCATACCTCGCCATGAATGCCATACCTCGCCATGAATGCCATACCTCGCCATGAATGCCATACCTCGCCATGAATGCCATACCTCGCCGTGAATGCCATACCTCGCCATGAATGCCATACCTCGCCGTGAATGCCATACCTCGCCGTGAATGCCATACCTCGCCGTGAATGCCATACCTCGCCGTGAATGGCTCGGAAGACGTTGTCTGGTTTGAGCGTTTTGAGAAACTTTGTCATCTCCTCCTGCCCATGCACACACACACACCCTCACTCACACCCCCCCACACACCAATCACCCCCCCACACACCAATCACCCCCCACACACCAATCACCCCCCACACACCAATCACCCCCCCACACATCAATCACTCCCCACACACCAATCACCCCCCACACATCAATCACTCCCCACACACCAATCACCCCCCACACATCAATCACTCCCCACACACCAATCACCCCCCACACATCAATCACTCCCCACACACCAATCACCCCCCACACATCAATCACTCCCCACACACCAATCACCCCCCACACACACCAATCATCCCCCACACATCAATGCCCCCCCACACACCAATGCCCCCCCACACACCAATGCCCCCCATGGCATGGCATGGCAGCAGCGGGGAGAGGGAGGACGCAAGTGAGGGAGAATGGCGGCATGGGTGGCACGAGTGGAGTGAGCACGGCAGGGGGACACACGGGTGGTGAGCACGGCAGGGGGACACACGGGTGAGTGGGGGAGAAGGACGAAAGGGATGGGCTGCCACCTTTCCGCTCCCCATTCCCAACACTCCCCTCGCCGCCTCCTCCTGCCATCCCCCCACGCCACTCGTCCTCTCATCCCTCTCTCCCAGATCGCCTCCGCCCTTCCGCCCGCCATCCCCCCCGCTCCCCCTCGTCTTTTCGCACGCCAATCTGCTCCCCCACCGCGCTCACTGCCCCCCGCGCTCGTAGCGCGGAGCTCACCGGCTGCACGCGGAGGTTGCTGTTGTCGTCGCGGTCGCCGTCGAACCCCACGAGCCGCACGTGCACGCGCGTCACCACCTCCACCTCCGCTAGCCGCCGCATCTTCGCCGCCAGTCCCGCGTCCTCCGCCGCGCCCTGCGCCCACCGCCGCTTGTCCGCCTCCGCCAGGCGCGCGAACGAGTCGTCGTCCGCCAGCGGATCCTCCGCCAGCCCGTTCAGGCGCGCCGCTGCCCCGCCGCTGCCGTGGGAGGCAGCGGTGGAATGCGGGAGGGGGAGGAGGAGCAGGAGCAGGAAGAGGAGCGGCATGGCGATGCCGCAGGTCGGCAGAGGCTCGCAGCGTGAATGGGCGAATGGGGCGCAGCGAGCGACGGTGACGCGACGTGAGCTCGTGGCGGCGAGCTGAACGATGTATGATCGCAGGATCGCAGGATCGCAGGATGCAATCGGATCGGATGATCGCCAACGAAAATGGTGCGTGTTCGTTCAGAGCAAGTTTGGTGATCGGGGAAATGTTCAATAGCGTCGCCAACTTTTCGTTAACAGGACCACCTTATAACATGAAAGAGTGCGCGAAAGTCAATTCAAACATATGATTACAATCAGTCCCAACGAAATGAAACCCTAGTATAGTGAACGTAGAAATTCACTACTGTAGTCTGCCCTTAGCGGTGATGCCCCGAAGGCATCGCATGAGTTGGGTTCGGCCCAAACCACTCCCAAGTCGCCCCCGCACCAATTGCCACAATTCCAACCCTCGGCCACCCCAAGGTCCTTGCCTAGCTACGAAGGAATGCCATATTTTTGTTCGCACTTTCTTTGTATTCTCAGCCTTTGTAATCAGTCTCGTTAAATTAGTCCGGGCACTCTGATAGTACAACTCATACCGTATGGCCCCGGATAGAAGCGCAGACATATTAAAAGCGAATGCACTTCTATCTGGAGCAATCCGCTGCTAATATAACCAAAGGATATAAGTGGATAGGATAAGTCTTCTAAGTTGAAAGAAGACAATGAAGTCTTGGTAGTGACCTTGTTGATAATAGTTAGAAGAGAACAAGATGATTTAAGGATAGGAGTACAAAGGTATAAAAACCAAAACTAGCTAGCCATGTACCTTGAGGCGTACATTCCCTAATTATTTGAATTACATTGCTAAAGTAACCACGACTATTGCTCTATTTGACAGTGACCATATAGCATTGCGTAACTACCAAGTGCGGTTACTGAACAGTCAAGAGTCACGACCGTTGACTGTCTTCGATTATTGACCTCCGGGTGACTCTCGATCTTCCGCCTGCTCTATATGAGCTATTGTGGTACTAGTGCTGACGCGCTGTTTCTTTATGTAGTAGCGCGTTAGTAGAGAACCTTCACGAATATTACAACATTTCGGTTATTCTAACAATCCCCTTCATTCCTGAAGGTGAGCCACGTGGGGTTTCTTCGAGATCTCGCAGAGGTCGGTGCAGTGCTGGAACTTCTGACGTGGCAGTTTCTTCGTCAGGACGTCGGCTGCCGTGTCACCAGTTGGGAAGTACGTGAGTTTGACCTTGCTTTTGTCGATCTCGTCCTTGACAAAGAAGTAACGGAGTGCGATGCGCTTCCTGCGGTTTACGAAGCCAGGCTTGTTTGCGAGCTTGATTGCGCCTTGGTTACTTTCGCTTCCTGCAGGAGCTCCATTAGGTACAGTCCTTCGCGAACAGCTGCGCTAGCGGCGATGAATTCAGCTTCGCCGACGAAAGGGCGATGCGCTCCTGCATCTGGGAGTTCCAAGAGATGAGTCCAGCAGGTTGGAGTTGGAAAATTAATCCTGTGCAAGAGCATCTGTTGTCATTGTCTCCTGCGTGGTCTGCGTCTACGTAGCCATGAAGCTGCAGGGCAGCGGTTAGGTTAGCTTCGTAGGTGAGTCCGACGTCAGGGGCAGAGATGAAGTATTGAAATGCGCGGCGTAGATCCAGTAGATTCTCCCCTTTAGGTCGCTTCAGGTACTGTGCGAGCTGGCTTTCAATGTAGGAGAGCTCTGGCCGGCACGTGACGGCGGCAAACAGGAGGCACCCCAGATGCTGCTGATAAAGCCAGTGATTTTTTACTGAGAGTGGAGTGGTGTCAGGTTCATGATTAGGAGGAGTGCGGAAGAGGGTGGTGATGCTAGTTGGTGCGATGGCAAATTTCTTCGCGAGTGTCGCGTATTTGGCAGCGGAGAGGTGAATGGAGGTGGCGGACTAGGTAATTTTGAGGCCCAGGAACTGCGTGATGTTGTGGTTGATCGTCACTTCAAGCTTCTCCTTGATTTCTGCCTCAGACCGGTCCAACAGCTTCGTGTCGTCGCCAGTTTAGAGCAGGTCGTCGACGTAGGCGACTCCTTCTGGTACATCCCGAGGTCATGCGGCAGCTGAGTGAATCCGCGCTCCGTGAGAACAGTGTGCAGGTATTGCTGCCACAGACGAGGCGCTTGTTTGATCCCATAGAGGGATTTCTGGAGAAGACAAATGGCACCGTCGCTTTCTTTGAAGGCGTGCGGCTGCTCGACGAAGATGATGGCGTCGACAGGTGCGTACAGGAAGGCACTGCCAACATTTATTTGATGGAGCGGACGCTGCTTGACGGCTACGATGCAGATGAGAATGCGCACCGAGGTATGTCTTCCGACGGGCGTGTAGGTGAGGTCGAAGTCCACCAGGTGAGTTTGTTCGAAGCAGCGCACCACCCATCTCGCTTTGTTTTTGTCAATGGAACCATCCGCAAACATTTTGATGCGAAAAACCCATTTGCCGCTGAGATTTTTTCTCCCCTTCGCTGATGATCGAGGAACCAGCTTCCACGTTCCGCAGTTCTTCAGCGCCGCGACTTCCGCTGCCATGGTTGCCTTCCATTTCTCACTGTCGGGGCCAGACAGGGCTTGGCGAACGGTGGTGGGTTCCTTGGGGGAGGCGTGACGAATAGCGGCTGCGAGCCCAAGGATGCGGAGACCAGTTTCGTTGGTCTTTCTGTAGTGGAGGCGATTGTAGTCATGCAAGCTGGTAACTTTGACGATGTCGTCATCATTGTCGTGGCCGGGACGGATGGTGTCTTGCGAGGAGTTTGGAGGTGGTAACTCGGCATCCGGAGATCGACGCGCTTCACTGTTGTAATTGTGGGCTTCGCGAGTTGTATCGGCGAGGTCAAATTGATGAACATGTATGAAGGTTGGAGTCTGGAGTGGGCTTGTAAGGGGGATGTCGGAGTATCGATCCGTTGGCGTGTTGTCAGTTGCTTCTGTATCTTCAGCCAGGTCTGCCTCATCCTGTGACGTGGCAAAGCTGCGATGCCCCTCAAAGACCCTTTCCGGTGCCCTGTCAGCTTCGCGGTGTTCTTTGAACAGTGGTAGAGTCAGCTTCTCGTAGAAGATGCAGTCACATGATTTCATCACTTCGTGTGTCGCATAGTCCAGCACAATCCATGCCTTGTATTCCTTTTGGATCCCGAGGTGGATGCCCCAGCGTGCCCGGTCAGCAATTTTCCGGTCCTTGCGGTGTGTGGCCTGTACTGTACCATGCAGCCGAACATTCAAAGAAGACGCGTATCTGCTTTCCTGCCCGCCTAAGCCTTGTAAGGAGAGTTATTGTTCTCGAGGCTTAGGGAGGATAGCAAGTTGTGCAGCCGAACTGCGTGGTTCATTGCAAACGGCCAATACTTGGTTGGGATGGCTGACTGCTTCATCAGAACCCTCATTCTTGTGGCGAGGCTCCTGTTTGTCCGTTCTGCTACTCCTTGCTGTTCGTGAGCGTAGGGCAGGGACATCAGGTGCTCAATTCCCTTCTTGGTGAAGAGTTCCTTGAACTCAGTTGAGAAGAATTCTGCTCCGCCGTCTGTTTGGAAGCTCAATCCCGATTCACGCTCTGCTTGTTTCATGCAAGCGATAAAGCATTCGAAGGCGAGATTGAGACAGTCAGTGTTGATGGCCCAGATGTGGCGAGTGCATGTGTTGATGAAGGTTAGCGTGTATTGCTCGCTGTCAAGCCCTTCTTTGGTAAGATTCATGAAATCGCTGTAGACCTTTTTGAGTGGCTCGTAGCGTTCGTAGCGAGGATGTAGGTCGGGGAAGGGTTTGTGGGCGAGTGACCTGGTGGGGCAGACGATGCATGGCGGGTCGGCTGAGTCTGCTGTGAGGGAACCTCCTCGAGGGAGAAGTAGCGCATCGGAGTTAAAGACTTTGGCCCTGATGGAGTTTTTGAGTGCGGCGTGAGAGGGGTGACGGAGTCGTTGATGCCAAATTCTTGGTTCGGCGCGGTAGCTCAAAGCCAAGAGGGTAGAGGAGCAGGGAGAGGGAGAGGAAGAGGCCGTGGAGGCTGTGGCGGTCGCGGAGGTGGAGTCGCAAACATGAAGAACAAAGCTAACGACACCACTTTTCTCCGACAGCAAGGCTGCTATTGGCATGGCCAACAATCCTATCCTGAATGGGCTGAACAAGCACATGAAGATTAAGTGGCACTGGGTGAGGCAGATGGTGAAGGAGGGGATTGTTGAGCTTCACCATGTGAAGGCTAGCAAGCAAGCGGCAGATTTTCTCACCAAGAGACTTCCCGAGAGTGCACATTGGAAGTGTGCAAGGATGTATGGCATGGCATTGCACTAGTGTGGGCAGCAGTGTCATGAGGGCATGTGTGTTTGTGTGCATGAGTGTTTGCATGCGTGTCAGTGTGTGTGCATGCAGTCCGTTAGTCTGAGGGGGAGTTTGTTGGATGCACGTCATTCTGAGTGCATGTCATCCTAACGTCCTGCCGAGTGCTCGTGCTATTCATGCGTGCATTGTTTGCATGAGCATATGTCATTGTGCATGGCTGTTGGATATTGTCATCTCTGTGTTTTTCTTCAAGTTTAAATGCTTGATCATGCAAGAGAAATCCAGAGCTTTCCAACG